AATTAATATAAAATAATATTGAATGTCAATTGTAATTGAAACAAAAAAAATAAAAATATACTCATATTTCTATGGGTCTATCTATGTTTACTTATATCTCCTCTACTTTTTGCTCTATAAAGGTAGATGCTAGGTGTGTTTGGCAGCCGCTCACTTTCCTTTCTTGGGCTCTTCTGCTGCCCCTTCTGGTATCTATTCTCAAACCTCCTTCCAGTCCCCTATTTCTGCTTTTAATGTCACAGGTATTATTTGCTGGCCTACTTTGCTGACTCTCTAAAGATAGACATTATATCCAATATTAATAGCTAACATTTCTTGGGCACTTATTATGTGCTAGGCCCTGTGCCAAATGCTATACATTCATTATTTAATTTAATTCTCACTGTAGCCCTCATTCAGAAGCTTCCATTAATATTCCCCTTCACAGATGAGAAACCTAAAGTACAGAAACATTAACTTGCCCAAGGGTCACCGAGCTAGTAAATGGTGAAGCTAGGATTTTAACCCAGTCTAGCTCCAGACCTGTGCTATAATGTAAATGTATAGAAGAGGAACTCGAAGAACACACACCAGACTGTTTGAAATCCATTACCTTGGGAGAGCACAATGGGATTGGGCAGAAATAGTGGTCAATTGGGTCCTTTATGCTTTGTCTTGTAAATGTTTACATTTGACTCTGTTTTTTGTTTGTTTGTTTGTATGTTTAAGTTTCTCTTTATCTGGGCTTTGGCTCTTTTAAAAGGAACTTATTTATGTATTAGTTATGTGGTTTTAAATTTTTTATTGTGGTAAAATAGACATAAAATTGACCATTTTAACTCTTCAGTGGCATTAAATAAATTCACATTGTTGTGCAACCATCACTATTGCCCATCTATAGAACTTTTCTATCATCCCAAACTGTAATCCTGTACCCATTAAATAATAAATTTGCATTCTCTCCTCCCCCAGCCCCTAATAACCACCATTCTACTTTCTGTCTCTATGAATCTGACTACTCTATGTACCTTGTAGAATTAGAATTACAGAGAATTTGGCCTTTTGTGACTGGCTTATTTCTCAGCATAATGTCTTTAAAGTTCATCCTTGTTGGAGCATGTCTCAGAATCTAATGCCTTTTTAAAGATAAATAATATTCCACTGTATGGCTATACCACATTTTGTTTATCTATTCATCTTTCGATGGATATTTGGACTGTTTCCACTGTTTGGTTATTGTGAATAATGCTGCTATGAACATGAGTGTATACATAGTTGTGTAATTTTTTAAAACTCTGAAAAACAATACTTATAGAATGATCTCATTTACATTTAGTGTATGTGTGCATCATGTACCTGATATGTATATAAATGTGTACCAGAGAGATGCACATGAAACTTGAGTCATTTTATCTCTAGAATGGGAAAATAGGGTAGTGGAAGAGTGGACTCTATAACTTTTTATTCTATATATTTCTGTATTTTTTTCATTTTGCATAATGACAATAGATTAATATATACCTTATGCAATTTTAAAAGGCAATTAAAACTAAAGATGAAGATTTCAAGCATCACGGAAGGCCATGGGCAACAAATATTTAGAGCCATTTTAAAGGGGCCAAAAGAACTGAAGTCGCAAAGGAAAGCTGAAATACCTCTGTGTGATTTCAAATTTTTATAAGGCACGTATATATTTTTTTTATTAAAAAAAATCTAATGGGAAAAAAAATCGAAGGCCCACAGTGGAATTGCACTGGCAACTGAGGCCCAGAGGAGGGCAGTAGAAAGCCGTGAGGAGGAAGCCTCAGAAAGGTTCCTTTGTCTCACCTGGAAAAAGGCTGAGGATTCCAACTTGGCCTTGTGCAAGCTAGGATGGGATTGAGTACTTCTGGCGATGGGATTCCACTGGCGATGGTGTTGGTCAAACTTCGGGAGGAAGACAATCAAATAAAAGTGGAGATATCAGAAAAGTGGCAAAGGTTCAGCTCTGGTGAGCCAAGGAGAGAGAAAGCAGGAAGAGGCATTCTTCACACAATCATCAAACAGCAGTCTAGGGGCAGATGTCCTAGAGAGAGTTCTAGGGGTCTTGGGAACAACACAGTGATGTTTAAAACACTGGGTGTATCCTTGGACCCTGATCTTCTGGTTTTTAAAGTGACAAGGGTAAGGATGGCCCTGCAGGCCAAAGATGCAGAGCTGGGATTAGGGGGCAAGTGCAAGGTCAGATTCTATCTTTATTTAAATATTTGATAACTTGTATATCATGATTTTTTTTGCATTAATTTTTTAATTGAATTAAAATATTATTTATCTTGATTACTGAGTGTTTGGGCACTGCTTAAACTTTGTGCCAGAGGCAAGTGCCTCACTGGGCCTCAGCCTAGTTCTGGCAACAATAAAAACAATAACAACATCTAAAACAAGAAATGGAATTTTAGAGTACATCTATAATATACAATTTTAATCAAAACTGTACCCCAGAATTTCTAAGTGAAATGAATTCTAACATGCCAATCATGTAAATCTACAAATAAAATCATATGTCTATATTAAAGCAAAAAGAAAAAGGGTAGTTTCTGTAACCACTGTGAATATGAAGTTAATGTTCAAATTAATTTGGAAGCTATTTCTGAAATACTGGCTTTAAGATATTGTCTATCGTTTTTCTGCGCTACCTAGAGAAGGGCCCATACGGCGCTGTTCTTGGTTCCCACATAACTTAAAGGGAGACTTTCACAATGTCCAGAGCCCTTGATGTCCTACAAATGAAGGAGGAGGATGTCCTCGAATACCTTGCAGCAGGAACACACCTAGGTGGCACTGACCTTGACTTCCAAGTGGAACAATACATCTACAAAAGGAAAAGTTATGCCATCTACATCATAAATTTGAAGAGAGCCTGGGAGAAGCTTCTGCTGGCAGCTCATGCCATTGTTGCCATTGAAAACCCTGCTCATGTCAGTGTCACATCATCCAGGAATACTAGCCAGCGAGCTGTGCTGAAGTTTGCTGCTGCCACTGGAGCCACTCCTATTGCTGGCCGCTTCACTCTTGGGACCTTCACTAACCAGATCCAGGCAGCCTTCTGGGAGCCCTATTTCTGGTGGTTACTGATCCCAGGGCCAACCACCAGCCTTTCACAGAGGTGTCTTATGTTAACCTGCCCAACATCGCCCTGTGTAACACAGACTCTCCTCTGCCCTATCTGGACATTGCCGTCCCTTGCAACAACAAGGGAGCTCACTCAGTGGGTCTGATGTTATGGATGCTGGTCTAGGAAGTCCTGCGCATGCGTGACACCATCTTCCGTGAACACCCATGGGAGGTCATGCCTGATCTCAACTTCTACAGAAATCCTGAAGAGATTGAAAAGGAAGAGCAGGCCACTGCTGAAAAGGCTGTGACCAAGGAGGAATTTTAGGGTGAATGGACTGCTCCAGCTCCTGAGTTCACTGCTGCTCAACCTGAAGTCACAGGCTGGTCTGAAGGCATGCAGGTGCCCTCCGTGCCTATTCAGCAGTTTCCTACTGAAGACTGGAGCACTCAGCCTGCCACCAAATCCTGGTCTGCAACACTACTGCTCAGGCCACTGAATGGGTAGGAGCAACCACTGAGTGGTCTTAGGTTGTTCTTCCACAAAGTCTGAAACTAAATGGAAATAAGGTTGACAGAAAATAAACAGTTTCTTTAAAAAAATTGTCTATCAACTATCCATCATTAGAAATAAAAAACACTGATTTTAAAAAGAGTTAATATATTCTTTCACTTTAAAAGCATTACTCAAAGATCATTTTATTCAAAAAGGAATAAAATAACATTATCCTGTTTTAGTTTTTTTTCCTAGCTTTATTGAGATGTAATTGATATGTAACATTGTATAAAAATAACATTTTCTGATCTTTATACTGTTAAAAGGTATTTGGGGAGCAGGATTATTTAAAGTTTCAGGGTAAAAGTGAGTTGTATTTTCAAAAAAAAATTTAATTTTGTTCTATTCCAATGATCCCAAAAGGATGATTTCAAAGGGTGCTATCCTTATAGGCCATGTTCTTTCATCTCTTTTCTCTTCATTTTACAGATGAAAAAATAGACTTAAAGAAAGGCCCTTAGCACACAACCCTTTTATAAGGGTTACCCACTCCAGCTTTATTTCCAGCTATCTGCTCCCCCACATTATTCATTTTGGCCATGTGGAAATGAAGTTCCCTCAACCATGCCTTGTGAATATTGATTTCTCTATCTGCAATACAATGTTATTTCCTTCCTTTTGGGGTTCAATGAATTCCTACTCTCACTTAAAAAAATTTAAAACGCCACCTATACTCAAGGGTCATTTACAGGAATCCCAACTCTGAACACATACTCCGTTTGTGTGCTCCTCTGGCACTGTACCATGACATCACACCACCCAGTGATTGATTATTTACATGTCTGTCTCTCCCATTTGATTTTGAGCTCCTTGAAGGTAGAACTATGTCTATTTGAATGTTCCGTGCTTAGTGCAAAGCTTCCTGTCACATAATAGACACTCAACATTTTTATTGAATGAATGAATCATCCTTGCTACCTCTCTCCCCCTCATGCCCCATAGGCTACCTATCATCAAGTTCTCAAATTCATCAATTTTTCTCTATCTTTACCACCACTACTCTGCTTCAAGCTACCATCCTCTATCATCTGGACCACTATAATAGCCTCCTAATTGTCTTACTACTTTCTTCTACTTGTGCCCCTCTGATCTATTCCCTATACAACAGCCAGAATGGTTTTTCTAAAATGTAGATTTTAATATGTCACTGTCCAGCCAGAAATTCATCAGTAGTACTGTAGTTTTTTTTTTTTTAAATAAAATCCAGTGCACTTAACTTGACCTAGACAGAAGCTCATGCTTCCCCATGGTGAGATTATGTTGTCAGACTATGACACGAAATGATAATGATGTCATAAACCCCTTGACAAGCTGAACCATATCAAATACAGCAGTTTCCTTGGTAGAAAATCATTTGAACAAAGCACTGGACATGAATCTTTTTATTTATGTCCTACTTGTGTCCATTTGGACAAATAGTTGTTTAAATACAAACCATAGTAATGGATCTTCTACTACAGGTAAGAATTTACAATCTATTATATTATGCATTCGAGCACTTAAATCAGACAAGGTAGCTGTGTTTAAGAAGTCTGCTGTTTCTTGGATGTTACCATTAGTAAGTCTTTAAGAATTTCTAGGATAATACCTAAGAGTTATCCTTCTGTGTGAAAAATCTAAGCAACATACAAGCATAAAGAGTATAGATGTATTGTCCCCCTGACCCACCCAATCCACCAACCTCAACCCCAAGCAAACTAGATAATACTATGTGAATGAATCTAGCATAGTATCTAACACATGGTAGGTTTCAACAAGGGTTTTTTTCTTGTCCCATCCCCTTTCCCACCATATACATTCACATACACACACACATATACTCAAGTTCATTCACACATGCAAGACACACACTCTCAAAAACTTAGGTATTAGGGTTAGAAAGCCATGATGCAGAGGTAACCTAGGGAATTATACTGATTAGCCAGAGATGTCTCCCAAATTTGGCTTCTAGACTGTGGCTAAGGGCATGACTGAGAGAAGAAAATGACAGTAGAACACTTATGCTTAAAAAAATCATTGATGAAAAGATTTGATTTTGACCTATAGTGGTAAGCCACAATCAAAACAGGAGAAAACTTGTTTACTTAACACATTTTCTGGTGATACAATCTCTTTGACAGGAGCTAAGCACGTTGAATCAATGGAGATCAGGCTGGACAGTTTTAGAAGACGTCTACTCATCATCGTAATTGGTGTTATGATCATAGCTTTTACCTTTACCTGTTTTTGTTTTCTCCATTATAATTGTGTGGGTGATGAAGCAGAAACGTAAGTTTTACACCTTTGAATTAAGAATGTAAGGTCTGCATGTGTGTGTATGTGTGTACATATAGTGGAGGCTTCATTGTTGTTGTGGTCACTTAATGTTAACTCTAGACTTCTAAAGAGCTACCAATATCTTGTGGGTGGATATTTACACTTAAATTATATCAATTCTTAAATATTCTCAAGTATATTATCAACTTTAGCCAAAGCTGTGTCCTATTTAGGGTTAGGCTGACCCCCAGGCTATTAATTTCATTATAAACTGAGTCTAGGAAAAGAGGACATGACTATCTTAAGACGACAGGGAAAATGAAGAAGGGGAGAGGGAGGGCGTTGGGTCTCTGCATTATAACAACAACAAAACATTTTGGGTAATCTACCATTTTAAGATGTATTAACATGAAAAAATATTCATTGTTGTTCTCATTATCTATCCCTGCCTTTCATGCAGAAGGATCAGGCTGGCCCTGATATTGTGGTTCCCTAAAAATATCCCAATCCAAGGACTGATGACTAAAATATACCAGTACTCCTTTCTTTTGGGTTTAGAGGAATATTGTGAATATAAATATGCATGGATAGATAACTTGCTAGTGTAAGTATAATAAGAAAACAATGACTTCAACTTGTAACATTTTTATAAGTTTAATTTTTGGATTAAATTAAATTGTCTCTCAACAGTAGATTTGAAACAACTTTGTATTTTTCCATATGTAGACTATACGGTTATCTAATGTGGTTGAAACAGTAAAATAGTAGGCATGAATTCAATATGAGTTCATATCTGTAACCTGACTCATGGCTTTTTATCACATTCCAATCTTACTGTGTTCAATTTCCTACTAGAGCCAAAAA